GAATTGTGGTGTTCAAAACTATATTAATAACTTAGTGAGCATCTGTCTAAATCTCTTCATGCTCTTCAAATCATGTATAAATATGAGCATATACTTTTATCTATACAAACACATGGGTGTTTATGTATGAATAATCTGTATGCATTGTTCCTTAAAAATGGTATCTATAAGTGGATTTGAGCAACTTTTTATATTATATGTCACTTGATTAGCTGCAAATTACTTGTTTTTACTATTGTTACAATTTAAATAATTATATATTTTATTTAAGAACACTTATCTCTATCATGTTTATGAATTTTATAGTTTGACATAATTTGGACCTCTGGTTTGTATGGAATGTTGATAAAATGCTTCCACCTTGCAATTAAATAAATCTGAAAAGAGACATCAAAACTAGCCTTTTTTATGAATAGTAATTTTTTAATCATGATTTGTTTATTTAATAAGAATAGTAGTATACTGTGTATTATAAAATTAAGAAGTTAAGATTTAGTAATATTTGAATACAAATAGATAACAGGGACTCAGATAATGGTAGTATAATTGTTAATAATGAAAAAATATAGTCAGTTATTTTATTTCTTAAAATTAATTGGATATTTGAATTAAAAAAACAGAAAATCTAAGGGTATTACTACAATTGATGTCAGAGCTAAGTATAAATCAATTTGAGTTGCCTCAGAATCGTTAAGAAATTGTACATCACATTAAACAATGGCCTGAACACTGGAACTTATCTGAAATACTGCATTAAAATTTAAAATTTCAATATTCATAATTAAATCATCACAGTTACTTTACATATGTAAATGATTTTGGCAAGTAAGCAATTGCTCCTTATTAATTTTCATCCATTCTTCCGTGGCTATTCCTTTCATCATTAGAGGAAGTAGGCGTCAACTATTCTAATTCTGGTTGCTTTTCAACTCTGAATTTACAAAGATTTGTACTATGCCATCCTCTTCTAAGTCACTTCTAGCTAAATACTCACTATTTTATCTAATTGTTGCAACAATTATAGCTAATATCTCTAAATTTAATGTTTATGTCTACACTTACATAGTTGTATGTTTTTTTCAGTTCACACAAAGTCATGTAGTCTTACAAACATATCTAGTACACGACTATTTTATATAACCAATATTGTATATTTGATCTGAGTAAAAATACATTAAACATGATAATTTTTGGCTCCTGCTTCCTAGATATCATGAAGTTATAAGGGGAATATTCTCATCGTTAAGGTCATATATCATCAAATTATTACTTTTACCGAAGTCAGTGGGTAGAATACAATTCATAAAGCTGTGCTTCTCAGTTGGGAGATGAAAGAGTAAGAGCATTTTCCAATAGATGGATGTCTTACACAGATTTCCTAGAAAGCAGAAACTGGGGCAAAATCTTGTGAGCTACTACTTTATAAAAAGTGCAATTCTGAGGACCACCAAAACAAAAGAAAAGTGAAGCCTGGAGATAGAGCAAATATAAGAGAGCTAGAGACAAATACAACTGGGGGCTGTGTCTTACAGGGATGTCCCTAGAGACCCAAATGAAACAAATCAATCTTGGGACAGTTTTCAGGCCTGAAGGTCAAAACCATTGATATCATAGCTCCTTCTCGTCGGCTGTATCTTATTGATCAAAGATTACTCAACAAGACAATAAGTCTTTCGCATTTCTAAGTCCGAACAGTCTCTCTGGACCTCACTGGGAAAGTCATAGTTCTAGCGAGTCCAATGTTGCCATTGAGCAACTTCAGCAGTCTTTTTTTGCCAGTTTTTCTTAAGTGTGGAGCTTTTTGGATCTGCAGAGAAGATGGTTTAGATTTTACAAAGTAGGAAAGTTACTGTGAGGTTCCAGGGCATTAGGAAGGTAATGCTAACCATTCTAAGAAGCCAAAAAGAGGCCTGAGAAGCTGGTGGGAATAAGCAGAGCTAAGGAGGTCAAAATCTTGGTTCTAACACAGTGAATATGTTTGTCTGTAGAAACAGGTATACCTTGAAAATGATTGTCCAAAATAGTTGTTTTTGAAATAGAAGCACTGTAAGTAATATTCAACTAAATCTTGCTGTAAGAAAAGATTTAATTTAATAGCAATTAAAGGGGAGGTAGAAAAAAATCCCTCCAGCAATTGTTCCAAATGCAGGAACACCAAATCCAACAACAGTCCAAACAAGAAACCACTTTCATAAGAGCCAAAATGAAGTAGAGTGATCACAGTATCGAATTTTCACATCATATCAAGGAGAGGCACTGAACAGAGTGCAGAGTCACTGCCCTACAGGGTTGTGGGCTGTCCCCTATCCCTGTGCTGAGGTGCTGGATCTGAGAAGTAAAGAGACAGGACACAGAAGGACTGGAAAAGACAGCTGGGCTCGGGGGGCCATGCCACTTACAAGTGGAGACTGGCAAGGCCCCGAATGGTCAGAAGCATCTGCATTTATTAGGTACAGGACAAAGGGAAGGGTCGGGAATGAGGTCATCTACAGGCTTAATTATAGGGCATGCATAATCACATGAGTAGCAAGCAAGGGAGCCACGCTATTATTAGGTTACCTAGTCAGAGAAGTGGGCCTTGGGCAGTAGGGGGCTGTGCCATGTGCAGTAATAGAGGGTCGTGTACAAAAAAGGGAGTCCACCCCTATTAAGTCACTGAGGCAAGGAGGTGAGCTGTGTGCAATAAGTGCCATGCACAACACTTCTTATCTGAGGTCTTGAGACTTTAAAGGATTCCTAGAGAAAGATGCTGTAAACCAATGCAGTGGGAACTGACAGAGTGTGCTCTTCTCTAAGATATTTTATAGGAGGATAATTTGAGCCAGCACAGTGGCGAGAAACGCCGACAGGGTATAGAGCCGCCGTGGCATTATTACACCAGAGGTTTCTTCTCCCTCAGTTATTTGCAGGATCTCAGGCCTGAAGTCTACTTTCCACAAGAACTGAATGCAAGGTACTGCAACTCCTTTTCAGGAGGAATAACTCTTGCCCCAAGCTGGCCACTAAGAGGGTACTGAGTGCTGCCATCTAGGCCCTGACCTGACATATAGTGTATGCCCTTTCAGGCAGGGGTGCTACTGCCTGGCTCATTGGTTCTTGTCCTGGTCTGGCTGTTTTTCCCATGTACTTGCTTCTGCTTTGTGACTGCTCTAGGCATTCCTCCTACTAGAAACTACTATATGATTATATAGAAGGATTATATAAATCGGCACTAAATGTGTCTGTACAGCTCCAACTACAATCCATCATATGATTATAGAGGAAGATTATATGGAACTAAGTATGATTTTTTATATATATATATAAAAGCTAGATATAAGTGAGCAGTAAGTTATACTTCAGGCACTGATTGTGCCTGGTGTCTGCCCAGCTCTCCTTCCTCGGGGCTCATGTGGGTGGTTACCCACACAGAATAAGATAGTTTTGAATTGTCTATATCATCTGTCCCCCAACCCAATAGTGCTGCATGATGCAAAGAAGGAATGTTTGTGCTTGGGAGAGAGAGAGAGAGAACACCATCATTGTGGGATTTTGCATTGGAACTTAGTGTTCCCGTGTCACAGTGGAAAGGGACCCAGGGCAGAATTTACCTAGCACCTTAGCCAGAGAATCGTCACCTATGTCAGTGGTCAGAACCTGACCTGACTTGAACCTGAGTTCTGGCTAAGCCCAACATTCTGGGCTAAAGCACTCTCAGATCCTAAATAAATTTGAAAGGCAATCTAGGCCACAAAAACTTCAATTCCTGTGCAAATCCTGGTACTCTGCTAATCTCAGAGCCAGTAAACTTGAAGTGCATGCAACCTAGTAAGAAACCTGTGGTAGGTCAGTCAGGTTGGTGGCAAAAATATTAAGGGAAAAATTTTAGGGTTGATTATAGGAGACAGTCACAAAATCCCCTTGGAAGGCCGGTGGTTTACATAGCTTCACATGAGAGAATGGGTCAAAGGCTGCTAGTTCTTTTATCTTGAGGCTTGAAACATAGGGCAGTTAACAGCGAAATGCAAAGGAATTCATCTAAATGGTTTTTTGTCCTTAGACCAACATTTGCATATCTGCGCTTGACTACCTCCTACTCAAGGGGACCAGATTTATCACCCTCAGATGGTGATAAATGCTTTAGGCCTTGGAACCTGACCTTTAATCATTATCCATAAGTGTGAGAGTCAGAGCCTCTGTTATTAAACAGAGGAATGGCAGATCCACCAACAGCTTGAAACTTGCACCTGCAAAAGCTGCAGATACTCAATGCCAGCCCATTAAAGCAGTTTGGAGAGGGGCTGTACCATGTAAAGCCACAGGGGCAGAGCTGCCCAAGACCATAAGAACCCACCTCTTACATCAGTGTGACCTGGATATGAGACCTGCAGTCAACAGAGATCATCTTGGAGTTTTAAAGTTTTACTGCCCCGCTGGATTTCGGACTTGCAGGGCCCCTGCAATACCTTTGTTTTGGCCAATTTCTCCCATTTGGAGTGTTTCTGTTTACCTCCATTGTATCTAGGAAGTAACTAGCTTGCTTTTGATTTTACACGCTCATAGTTGGAAGGGACTTGCCTTGTCTCAAATGACACTTTGAACTGTGGACTTTGGGTTAATCCTGAGATGAGTTACGAGTGTGGAGGACTGCTAGGAAGGCATGATTGGTTTTGAAATGTGAGGACATGAGATTTGGAGGGGCCAGGAGTGGAATGATATGGTTTGGCTGTGTCCCCACGCAAACCTTAACTTGAATTGTATCTTCCAGAATTCCCACATGTTGTGGGAGGGACCCAGAGGGAGGTGATTGAATTATAAGGGCCAGTCTTTCACATGCTTTCCCATGATGGTGAATAAATCTCACAAATTCTGATGGGTTTATCAGGGGTTTCTGCTTTGCTTCTTTCTCATTTTCTCTTGCCAACATCATGTAAGAAGTGCCTTTTACTTCCCACCATGATTCTGAGACCTCCTCAGTCATGTGGAGCTATAAGTCCAATTAAACCTCTTTTTTTTCCCAGTCTCAGGTATGTCTTGATTAGCAGCATGAAAACGGACTAATACACTCTGGCAGCAGAAGGAAGAGTAAAAAGGACTTTGTCTTTCAACATGGCTACCAGCTCAGGCACAGAACATAAAAAACCAAGCAGAGTCCTAAATTCCCCATTCTAGGCCATAGCTCCCAGACAATTCTAGACCCACCCTGGCCAAAAGGGAATCAACTGCCCTGAAGGTAAGTCCTGGCAGAATTTGCCACCGGCTGACTACAGAACCCTTGGTCCTTCTTGGTCCTTGAATGAACATGAGTAGCAGCTAGGTAGCAGTCAGCAGGGCCCTTAGGCAAGGCGCAGTAGTATGCTGACTTCACATGTGACCTAGTACATTCCCAGCCTTTGTATATCCAATGGGTTTGCTGTGATGTCACCTTTGTTCTTTCTGATTCTATCTATTTAAATCTCTCTCTCTTTAATTAGCTGGCAGTCTTATCAATCTTGTTTAGCCTTTCAAAACCCAACTAATTTTTTTAATACTTTGTATGGATTTAGGGGCCTCAATTTCATTCAGTTCTGCTCTGATTTCAGTTATTTATTTTCTTCTGCTAGTTTTTAGGTTAGTTGGCTCTTGTTTTTCTGTTTTTTTTTTTTCCAGGTGTGATGTTAGATCACTAACCTGAAATTTTTCTGACATTTTGACGTAGGGATTTAGCTCTATAAAAATTCTTCTTGACACTGCTTTTGCTACATGTCATGTATTTTGGTATATTATGTCTCTATTTTCATTTATTTCAAAGAATTTTTTTCTGCCTTGATTTCATTTCATACTTATATATCATTCAGCAGCAAGTTACTTAGTGTCCATGATTTTGTGTTGTTTTGAGAGACCTTCTTGTTATTTTTTTTTTTTCATTTTTATTCTGCTGTTGTCCAAGAATGTTGCTGTTATGATTTTGACACTTCATTGAATCTATTGAGAATTGCTTCATGGCTGAGAATATTGCCAGTCTTGGAGTATGCTCCATGTACAAATGAGGGAAGTTTCTGTAGATGTATATTAGATTGAATGGTCTAATTGGTCAAATTTAATTCCAGAATTGCTTGTTTGTTTGTTTTCTGCTTTCATGATTTGTCTAATTGCTGTCATTGGGATGTTAAAGATCCTCCCTATTCTAGTGTGGCTGTCTGAGTCTTTTTGTAGGTTTAGAAATGCTTGTTTTATGAATGTGGTTACTCCAATATTGGATGCGTATATATTTAGGATTGGTACTTCACGCAAAATTGAACACTTTGTCATTGTGTAACGCCCTTCTTTGCCCCTTTTTACGGTCGTTGGTTCAAAGTCTGTTTTATCTGATACAAAAATAATGACCCCGAACTCTTGTGATTTCTGTTTGCATAGTAGGTCTTTCTAGAACCCTTTACTTTGAGCCTACGTCAGATGGGTCTCTTGAAGACAACAGATTGATGGCCTTTTTGAAAAAAAATCAATTGGCAACTCTATTTCTTTTTATTAGGGGCAATTAGACTATTTGAGATTCAGGGTTAATATTGATATGTGAAGCTTTGATCCTATCCTGCAAAAATACAAGCTATTTGCTTTTCAGCTTCTATTGTGCTTTTGGTTTATAGTGTCTATGGTCTCTGTTTTTAAGTGTGTTTTTGTGGTAGCATGCATTTTCTTTTCCATGTTTAGAACTCCCTAAGGGATCGCTTATAAGGTGGGGTTAATGTAATGCATTTCTTTTTGCTCTTTCTTGTCTGAAAAACATTTTATTTACCCTACAATTATGAAGCTTAGTTTTGGGGGGATATAATATTCTGGGTTGATTTTTTTTTTTTTTCTTTACAAATGTTAGAAGTAGGCCCTTTATCTCTCCTGGCTTGTAATATTTCTGCTAAAAAGTTCACTGTTAGCCTGATGTGGTTCCCCTTATATGTAATTGAGGTCAAGAATGAAGGGTGTGGCTAAACCTTTTTTACTTGAAAGTGCCTATGCAGTTATAGTAAAATGTCTTCTGGGCTTCAATCACTGAAGGCAGAACAAGCCTGGTGATTCAGAATGGTTTATTCATATGCCTATCAGTTAATGCAGCTGTTGTCTGAGAGTTCAGTTTAGTAATGTTTACCAGAGAAAGAGCCTGTGGCCTCTTCCAACATCGTTCTATACTTGTAATAAATACTTCTTGCTGTCACACACTTCTGTTGGCATAATTTCTTTCTATGCCTAATAAGCTATTGCCATAAGGTGGGCAAAATGACCAGGTAGCAGTAATATTTTCTATGTATTGAAATTCTAACTATGCCTTCTGAAGAAAGCTTCTCTTTGTTTTTTGTACCCAGAGGATTCATAATTACAGAGCCTAAAGCTATAGGAACAGAGAACTCCAATTTCCCAGGAGTGGAGGAATTCAGAATCATTCCTATTTGAAGTGTTGAAAGACATCTAACCATGTCTCATATCTCTTTCTTCTCAAAATCTTGACTTTGGCTTGGGAGTCTTTCCCTCTCTGATAATTGAACGTTATTTGAAGTTATGACCACCGTGCTTACACTTAGGTCTTCAACTCTGTCTGCCCTCTGGTGGCAAAAGATGAATGCCTCCTTAAAAATTGTCCAAGAGTCTCTCTGGCTCTCATACTTTGATAATTAACAGATTGCTTCATGCATCATTGTTACCTAGCAATAACCACCCAAATCCTTAGCCTATTTGTTTGAAATTCCCTTTTATCTTTCAAATGCTAACAGTAATGTACTAGGTTGTACATCACATTCATCTGATTCCCATCTCCATTTACCATAGCTACAAATCTTCTTATAAGTCTCACTGCAATACTCTACCTCATTCCAGTAAAGGGGGTCTTCATTTGCTACCAGAGTTTGAGATTCGAGTTCTGAGAGGAGATAATTTGTTGAGAAAATTCTCTTAGAAAAGGAAGATTAAGAGAAGCAAGGCAGTACAAGAGAAGAAAGCTGAGGATAAATTCTAATAAAATAACTTCCAGTGTTTGAACACACAAGGGAATGCAGAAAACTGAATACTGACAAAGAATTTTATTCTTCAGAAATATATAAATAAATATACTTTATTTAATTTGGCATAAAAATGCAGATGTGTAAAATGAATAGAATACAAGCCAATAAGAATGCAAAGGATCACCACTATGCACTTAAAAATATGACATCCTTGAGGCAGGCATGGTGGCTTATGCCTGTAATACCAGCACTTTAGGAGGCTGTGGTGGGCAGATCACGAGATCAAGAGATCAAGACCATCCTGGCCAACATGTTGAAACCCAGTCTCTACTAATAACACAAAAATTAGCCAGGCATAGTGGTAGGCACCTGTGGTTCCAGCTACTTGGGAGGCTAAGGCAGGAGAATGGCTTGAACCAGGGGTGCAGAGGTTGCAGTGAGCCAAGATCATGCCACTGCACTCCAGCCTGGCGACAGAAAGACCTTGTCTCAAAACAATGATGATAATAGTAACAACAATAAAAAGGAAAAGTAAAACAAAACAAAAATATAAAGAAAGAAGATTCCTAAATGCTATCAGTATAAATATGGGTAAATCAATTGCGTATTATTCATGTTATAACATATGATAAAGCAGTTAAGAAGAATAATGTGTATTCAAATAACTGATGTAGAAAAATTCAGTAGATACGTTATTATTAAACAGAAAAATCAAATTATATACAAAATGTGCAGTAGAATGGTCTCTGTAAAGTTATTTTACAATAACTTTACATTTGTTATTGTTATACATTTGTATCTATAAATGTATAACAAAATGTTATACATTTGTATCTATATTTATATTTATGTCTATTAGCATATTTATCTAATTAAATCAATGTTTGTGGCTATTTCTGGAATAGCACTGATATTGAAAGTGATTGTTAAAGGATCATATGCAATATTTGAATTTTTATTTTAATAAGTGCAATATATGTATGTATAAATTCTATAATCAGAATGAGTTTTTAAATAAGAGAAAAATTTGAGTGAATTGCCCATGATAAAAAAGCTAATCAGTGCTCAAGACAATATTAAAACGTTGAAATTCTAAAAATTATGATACTCACTAATTTTCTATTGCTACATTCTTGCAAATGACCAATTTTCATTAAGCATTTCAACCAAAAAGAGTTAAATATTAATTACATCCTAGTTAAATAGGGGTCTTCCCCTATTTAACACAGTCTTCCATCTATGCCATATTTTATATTAATTAAACGATTTTGCTGTTATTAAAACTGGTTTTAGGAAGAAGGTTAATGAGCCATTCTTAGAAAATTTGTAATGAGCACAAGACAGGTAGCTTCAATCTTCCTCTAGGCTATTGGTTTTATATTATTAATATGAGTAAAATCATTGTAAATGCTAAAATTAGAGATTCCCAAATCCATTCATATAAAGTCTGAAGAAGTCAATCTCGGCATTTCAAAGAAGGTTAAAGATTATTAAATATTCTAGATGATTCTAGTATGGCTGACTAAGGGCCCTACTCCCAGATAGGATCAGAATTCCAAAATGCTGCAAACTGAATGAAAGGGGAAAGTTTGCTTCCCAATAGAAACTAATCAGTATTGAAGAAATAAAGGACTAGAGAGGAGGCCAAGAATAAAATTCCTTAATAATGAATGAGTCCTACTGATCCCAAATGATTTTTCAGTATATACTGCATATAAAGTAGCCTATCCCCTTTTTATGGGATCAGTCTTATGTTAAGAACTTCTCATATTACCATGTCTTAACAAGAAACAAAAATAATACCTTTGCAGAGGAACTCAACTGTCTTTTATTTATTTTTTTTTAATATTTCTCACAGTTGGTGACACTTTGTGAAATAGTGTTTTCTCAATTTGTAAATATTTTTAAAACGAAAATTCAATAAAATGAGATCGTTAAGAGCTTCAAATTAGTAATTAGTAGAACTGTAAAATAACCTGCTCCAAAGTATTTCTTTTAGATATAAATATGTTAAGCAAGGATTGCTGCAAAAGAATGTTTCCTTTGCCATTTATTATTTTCAATGATCATTTGTTACAAAAGGTAGTTTCTGAAGAAATTCTTTTTACTTTCATTTTCTCCCTTTTGTCTTTGCAAAATAAATCATTTTGTTTCAGATCACTTATTATTCTTTTTAGTGTAGCAATTGAATCTAACTCTTAGTACACTTAGAAAGAGATAAAAAGATCATTAGATTTTTGTAACCTGTTTGGTAGGTATAAAA